TAGTCTTAATAATCACCTGCTCCTTTTTATTACCTAGCCTCTATAATTTAGCTGTAGAATTAGCTTATAAAGGTTGTCTAGCGCTATAGTTATTTATTGTCTTTTATAGAACCTTGCACATAGCTATAGCACATTTTTTTAAGAGTTTTATGTCTTATTTAAAAGCTTAAAGCGTAAGCTGTATCTAACGTTCTTTTAGCGCGTCTAAGTAGTGTTGTGGGGAATGCATTAGTGTAGGAAGAGTAGTTTAGTGGGGTCTTGGCAAAAGTAAGCGACTCAGGTGTGTGAGCAACTTGCCTATGAAGTACATTATAGAGAAAATTAAGGGCAATTTTAAAAAGTGTAGGGTAGAAGTAATAACTAACTTTAAGCTACTAAGTAAAAGGTAATTAGAATAGTAAGGATCTCTCTTTAGCTATAAAAAGGTTTTTAATGTAGCTATTATAGTATTATTAAAGCTCTGTTATTTCTACTGTTTTTTATATAACCTTAAGCGTATAAGAAGGCTTATAGTAACAGAGAAAGTTTGCTTATAGCCCTTATTATAATACTTGCTACTAGGGAGCTTGCGCTACTAAGGTTATAGATCCTTCTCCTTCTTATTACCCTCTGTCTCTAGCTTGTTAGGACAACTCTAATAAGTAAAAGGATTAGAATAAGGCTGTACGCCTGCTGTAATAAAGGAATTAAGACATCTAGCTTATTATAATAATTAATAAGATAGGTAATAGGTTAGCAAATAGGCAGGCATAAGATAAGAAGCTTTTCTAGGGCAAAAGTTAACTATTTTTATAATTGTTACTCTAAAATGTAACCTTAAACAAAGCTTCTAACACAATAGCTAATAGGGTCTAAAAACAGGAGGGAAATCTCCTAAAATATAACCTCTCTAACCTGTACTACAGGACGTACTTAGCAATTCACTGTACAAAAGTTATGTCTTACATTTTAACTACTTTTGTACTCCTCACGTGATTACTACGTTCACGTAGTTACGTTACGTACTACGGACTGTTGACCACGCTAGGCACACCTCACACCTCACACCTTATTAAGCTGCTTGGCAGACATCGCAGTATATAAACAAGGCTGTATTCCCTCTCTAATGAACTAATATTCTGTGCTTTACATCTTAGCACTTAAGCTCTAAAAGACACGTAGACAATTAACTTATTAAATTACCCTTTACACACTTAGCCTGCCTAAAACAGCCTACTCTTTATATCCCCAAGCCCTTATTTAGTATGTCGCACAACACCCTCAGTAACGGCGAGTGGCTGCTCGTGGGGCAACATCCTGTTTAGTCAGGACGGCTTGGTCAAGTTCAAGATGCAGGGCGATGGGAAGATCGCCGTATACTGGGGCGGCCAGTGCCGGTTCCAGAACACGGCCGTGCAGCGCCCCAACATTAAGGGCATTAAGATGCAGGAGGACAGTAACCTATGCATGTAGTAAGCTTCTTTTCCTTCTTTATCCTCTTCTTTCTTGCTCTTATAGTAGTATGTTGTGTTTTATTTAGAGAGCCTTATTGTAGCTAATAAGAAGGTTATGTGCAGTAATAACAATGGCAACCCTGTCTAGCAAACCAACACAGCCGGCTCTACCGGCAACAGCCCCGTCATCTGTGCCGTGCAGAATGATATTAACGTTGTTCTTTACAAGGGCACACTAATCTAGGCTAGCAAGACCTAGAAGTAGACTTCTACTAGAAGATAGACGCTAGAATTTTAATTATTAAAGTTAGAGATTTATAAAGCTAGGTATAAGAAGATAAGAATAAAGAGAGTTAAAGTCTAGGTTAACAGATTATAGGCAGATACCTAGTCACTTGTTTGTTAGTAGGTGAATAAAGACACTTGCCTTAATACTACCTTTTACTAATCTCTTAATAGATGTAAGATAAGTAGAGAGTCTACTTAAAAGATAACTAGTCTACTTAAAAGATTAGATTGCTATAGCAGATAGACTGCACCACCATGTCAGAGGGGGTTGCTCTAGGTGGTGGTGTAGGAAGTGCTGTTAAAATAGACAGGGTGGCTCTTAATCTTATCTAACTTAGTCGCGTACAACAATTAGCACATTAAAACTAGATATAACGTACTTCACAAGCATGTTGCTTACACACGTAAGTTACTTACTTTTGCTAAGACCCTACTAAACTACTTTTTCTACACTAATATATTCCTAACAACACTACTTAAACATGCTAAAAAAAAATATTAGATATGCCTTACACTTTAAGCTTTTAAATAAAATATAAAACTTTTAAAGAAACATGCTACAGCTATGTACAGAGTTTTTTAAAAGACAATAAATAACTATAGCGCTAGATAACCTTTATAAGCTAATTCTATAGCTAACTTACAGAGGCTAGGTAATAATAAGAAGTAGGTAATTATTAAGACTATACTTAAGCTATATGTGTAAGGATTTTCCTCTTAGTAATTCTTTACGCGCTAAGCGTAATCTAGGCTATATTAGCATAAACTAGCATAGTACATTTAGAAAGTGTTATTTAAAGCTTAAAGTAATGCTTAAGTGTAGTACAACTATAAAAAAGCTTTTTATAAAGGTTCTAAAGTAATTTAGAGCAGGTTTAGCCTTATAAAGAATATTAAAGCTAAGTATAGCATCTAAGATAATAACATGTACAACTTTAGTAAGATAAGCTTTATTATAAGCTAAATATCTATTAACTATACATGCGCTTAAAACTTTACTTTAAGCTTTAAATAACACTTTATAAACATACTAGGCTAGTGTATGCTAGCATAGCCTAGATTATGCTTAGTGTGTAAAAAATTAGCTATATTAGCTATAAATGCTATTTAAAAGAAAAATTCTTGCGCATATAGCTTAAGTATAGTTTTAATAATTACCTACTCTAGATTATTACCTAGCCTTTGTAAGTTAGGTATAGAATTAGCTTATAAAAGTTGTCTAGTGCTATAGTTATTTATTGTTTTTTAAAAGACTTTATATATAGCTGCAGCATGTTTCTTTAAAAGTTTTATATTTTATTTAAAAGCTTAGAGTGTAAGCTATATCTAACATTCTATTAGCACATCTAAGTAGTGTTGTTAAGAATGCATTAGTATAAAAAAAGTAGTTTAGTAGAGTCTTAGTAAAAGTAAGCAACTTAGGTGTGTGAGCAAGTTGCCTGTGAAGTACGTTAGAACAGTTATAAAAGCTATTTCTATACTGTATGTTGCCACTACAAGCAGGGAGATAGCCGACCCGCTCCGGCCACACCGTTGTAGATGTTTTGATAAATGTATTGATAATAGGCAGGTAGAGGTACATGTAGCTACAGCTTATAAGATTGCTACTTTCTAAGCCAGATAGGCTTTTACAGCATAAGGCGCTAAGACAAAAACAACTAGATGATTTGTGAAGCTATGTAAGGCACTAGAGGCATGAGGAACTGCATTGAATGTATTGCTAGAGGAGTCCTTTGCGGGAGTCTATATATATGCGAAATAAGTGGGTGGGTCTTGGCAACAGACTATGGTGCCGATGCATCCGACCATCTTGTGACGACACATCCGACACATCCGACTATCGTGTGACTATAGTGACGAAGCATCTGAGTGTCACCACTGCAAACATGATTGCTGAGTCAGCGCACGTGATTCTAGGTTTGAAAATGCGGCGAAGAGATTGTAGCTAGAACTTTAAGTAGTTTATATAAGGCTGAATGTCCTAGAACAGGCTAGTATCGCCTTCTCTAACCTGTTTAGAGGTCACATGACCTGTCCTTTGTATATAAGCATAAATCTTAACAAGTAAAGCTTAGTAGTAATTTGTCTCTCTTATAATACACTTCTATCTTTCTCTAAAACCTTGCTGTTAGTGCTATCTATGCTACCTACTATTCTATCTTTACATTTAAATTGCTCTACAAGCTAGCATACTACTTAAAGGCAACATTCCTACATAATAGTGTTAACATAAAACACTAGAAAAGAATTTAATGTAACTAGCGCTTAAAGACTACTTAAAAAGCTAACTAAGACTACTACTTTTAGTAATACTTAACTAAAGTTAACACTAACATAGAAAGAAATAAAGTAAAAAATAAGTAAAAATAATAAATATTTTTTTATAAATTAGGCTTATTAAGCTATCTAGAAGGCATTTAGAGTCTAAAAGAGGTTAGAAGGGCTAGTGTAGAACTAAGCAACACATAGTCTACCCCTGTAAATTAGACTTTAGCAGAAGCCTGCGCCTAGCTGTAAAAGCAGTAGAAAGTATAAAAACTAGCTAAGATAATAAAAAATTATTATTAATTTAAAGGAAGTAATGTAAGTACACTTTATAAGTTACTAACTAAAGTATTAAACATTATTATACTAAAACTTATTTAACACTAAGTAAACCTACTACATTCTAAACTACTATACTAATAACGTACTTCATGGGCGAGTTGCTCACACACCTGAGTTGCTTACTTTTGCTAAGACCCTACTAAACTACTTTTCCTACACTAATGCATTCCCCACAACACTACTTAGACGCGCTAAAAGAATGTTAGATACAGCTTACACTTTAAGCTTTTAAATAAAACATAAAACTCTTAAAGAAATATGCTATAGCTATATATAAAGTTTTATAAATAATAATAAATAACTACAGCGCTAGATAACCTTTATAAGCTAATTCTATAGCTAAATTACAAAGGCTAGGTAATAAAAAGGAGTAGGTAATTATTAAGACTATACTTAAGCTATATGCGTAAGGAATTTCCCCTTAGATAGCATTTATAGCTAATATAGCTAATTCTTTGCACGCTAAGTGTAATCTAGGCTATATTTGCATAAACTAGCCTAGTATGTTTATAAAGTATTATTTAAAGCTTAAAGTAAAGTTTTAAGCGTAAGTATAGTTAAGAGATATCTAGCTAATTATAAACCTTATTTTGCTAAAGTTGTACATGTTATTATCCTAGATGCTATACTTAGCTTTAATATTCTCTATAAGGCTAAACCTGCCCTAAATTACCCTAGGACTCTTATAAAGGGCTCTCTTATAGTTGTACTTACGCTTAAATGTTACTTTAAGCTTTAAATAACACTTTATAAACATACTAGGCTAGTTTATGTAAACATAGCCTAGATTACGCTTAGCGCGCAAAGAATTAGCTATATTAGCTATAAATGCTATTTAAGGGGAAATTTTTTACGCATATAGCTTAAGTATAGTCTTAACAATTACCTGCTTCTTTTTATTACCTAGCCTCTATAATTTAGCTGTAGAATTAGCTTATAAAAGTTATCTAGTGCTGTAGTTATTTATTATTTTTTATAAAACTCTACACATAGCTACAGCACATTCTTTTAAAAGTTTTATGTCTTATTTAAAAGCTTAGAGTGTAAGCTGTATCTAACATTCTTTTAGCGTGTCTAAGTAGTGTTGTAGGGAATGTATTAGTGTAAGAAGGGTAGTTTAGTAGAGTCTTAGCAAAAGTAAGCAACTTAGGTGTGTAAGCAACTTGCCTATAAAGTACGTTATAAATAAAAAATAAAGCAGACTATAACTAGTAGTGTAGAGATAATAAGAACTATTACTAAAAAAGTTTATTAAGCTTTACTTAAAAATTATAAAAAATCTCTTTTAGTCTATAATATATTAATAAGACACTATAATTACTATAAAAGACACACTACACTTATTTAAAGCTAATTAACTTATTATAGTAACTAATAACGTATCTAACGGGTTAGCCGGCCACACAGGTTGGCCGGCCACTTTTGCCAAGCCCCTACCACACTCTACCTATCTACATAATGCCTTAATAATAACACTAGATTAAATCTTCTAAAGAACATTAGATACAGCTTACTTTTTAGGCTCTTAAATAAAACTTAAAACTCTCCTTGCAACGCGCTGCAGCTATCTATAATGTCTCTTACACAACACTAAGTAATTAACGCGCTAGATAGCCTTTAGAAGCAGAAAGCTAGCCTAAATTAAGAAATCTAACTAAGCTTAAAAAAAAAGTTGTTGTTAAGTATATACTTAAGCTTATTACACGCAGATTTCTCTCTAGGCTTATAGCTATAGCTAATATAGCTAATTCCTTGCGCGCAGAGCAGAATCTAGGCTAGGTTAGCTTAAACTAGCCTAGTATGTAGGTTAGGCACTGCTCTAAGTTTATAATAAAGTTTAATTATAAGTATAATTATAAAAGAGCACTTTATAAGGATCTAGAAGTTATTTAGGGCTAGTTTTGCCTAGTAGCTAATATAAAAGCTAAGTATAGTATCTAAGATAAAAACATGTATAACTTTAATAAGTTAGGCTTTATAATAGGCTAGATATTAACTAAAGCAGTTGTTATAACTTTAAAGAGATAAAGATAGCTAAAGGTAATATAGTAAAGTAATAGAGAGTAGATAATAGTTATTTAGAGCATTAATGTAATAAAGTAGGCTATTTTACTCTTTATTATTTTTAAGGGCTGCTATTACATCTTTGCCTAGTATAAAAAGGAGAATTTACCTTAGAACTAGGTTATTACAGTCTCTAAGAACAGCTAGATAATAAATAAGCTTAGGCTATAGTAGTTAAAGCACTTTAATAAGCATATAAAAAAAAGGTTATAACGTACTTTATAGGCAAGTTGCTTACACACCTAAGTTGCTTACTTTTGCTAAGACCCTACTAAACTACCCTTTCTATACTAATGCATTCCCTACAACACTACTTAGACACGCTAAAAGAATGTTAGATACAGCTTACACTTTAAGCTTTTAAATAAGACATAAAACTCTT